TACCATCGGCTCTTTAATGTGATGGTTTGTATGTTTTTGTTTTTGACATTTATCGCAACGAGAAACAAATTTCTTAACATCAGTTTCTAAACCGGGCCAATAATACCGTCTTCTGATATTATTAAGTATCCGCTTGATACCCGCGTGGCCATTAGTGGGCAACAGGTGGAAATCGTTTAGAATCACCCTACGATCATCCTTGTCATCTATTCTATTCAAATTTTTACTCGTTGCCCGGTCCAATTCTTATTTTTACGTATCTCATCTACTAAGTTTTTAATAAAATTCTCATTATTTTTATCTTTTAATAAACATAGCTCGCTCACGTTACACTATTTACAAAACATCTCTAACTCACGTACAAATTCGGCTCGCGTAAATTGTTATCGTGAATTAGGAGTTATATAAATCGTATTATACTCAGGTACGTATATTAATGATTTTTTATTTGAACTTTTCAATATTTTACCTTTTATTTAAATTATTTTCTGTAATAAATACCAACTCTACTGATTCCGAAGGTTTTTTATAAATATCCACTACATTCGGTTGATTAGGCCGTTTGTCGTTGAATACTATATCGATCTTAGAATCCCTACAGTTAAATTGTTTTTTTCATTGCGCGCGCGTCATTCCGTTTAAGTTTTAGTTTTACATACTCAATATTAAAATCATACTCCTCCAATGTCAACCTGAATTTTAGTACACGGCTAGTAGGATCTTTCATATTAAATAAGTATATGAAAGGTCTGTAGTCCGTATAAATTTTGAACTTACGGTCGTAAGTATAAGTAAGGTCTGTAGTATTTTACTCCCCATACAATTGCTAACAATTCTTTTCCGATGATAGAGTAATTGAGCTCGGCTTTATTCAAAGTCCTATTAGAATACGCGACCGGGCGTCCGTCCTTGTTAGATAGAATTGCTCCTATGGTGTATCCTGAAGCGTCTGTTTTTAAACTAAATTCATTTTCTGGTGAAAAATCGGGATACTGTAATAATGGAGGCGATATTAATAATTCTTTTAATGATTGAAATGATTTTTCACATTCTGAATTCCATTCAAAAGTTACATTTTTCTTACAAAGTTTATTAAGCGCATGTGCTTTCTCGGCAAAGTTGGGAATGAACTTCCGATAATAATTTAGAAAAGCCACAAATCTCCTTACTTCTTCTACATTTTTCGGAACTGGGTAATTTTTTACAACTGTAATTTTGTCGAGGTCGGGTAAAATTCCGTCAGCAGTTACTAAATGTCCGAGATATAAAATTTGTTTCTTCAAAAAATTTATATTTTTCGGGATTTAATTTCAGGTTAACCTTATTTAGTCTGTCAAAAACATTAATTAAATTTTTGTTGTGGTCCTGTAAGTTTCTACCAAAAACTATTAAATCGTCCAAATAAACAAGGCATTTTTTATAAATTAATCCTGACGTTGCCAAAAAAATCATACGTGAAAATGCACTTGGGCTGGTTTTTAGACCCATTGGCATCCGTTTCATTTGAAATTAACCAGAGTTAAAAGCTGTGTACTTTCTGCAATTTTCTTCAAGTTCTACTTGATAGTAACCCGAAAATAAATCTAAAGTTGTAAAATATACGCTTCCCAATAAAGAATTTAAGATTTCAACTATGTTTGGTAACGGGTATTTATCCTTCTATCCTTACATCATATCCTTGTACACTTTCGTTTAGTTTCCGGTAATCCACTACTAAACGCAATTTTTTCTCCTTTCAATTACATAATCGTCTAATAATTTTTTGAGTTGTTTTTCGCTGTCTAACTTTTGAGTTTGAGGAACTCTATATTGTTTTGTAAAAACCGGTGCTACTCCTGGCTTAATATAAATAGATTGTTTAAGTAAACTCGTAGTCGTCAGTTTGTCGCCTGGAAGATGAAATATTTGAGAAAATTTTGCACAAATACTTTCAATAGATTTCTTTTCCTCACTATTTAAATGGTCTAAATTTATTTGAGAAAATATTTTTTTATTCTCTCGGCATTTCCGTTACACTTTTCAAAAGAACATATTTCATAATTTTTGAAAGGTTCTATTTGCAGCTCTTTTATTTCTAATGTAATCTCGTTCTCTGTTGTATTCAAAATTTGGATAGGTATTTTACCTAATGTTGGTCGTACGAGCTTGCTAAAAATACTCCCTTTTCAATTTCTTGTGAATAAATAGTATTATCTTCCTCCAAATTTAATGAAATAAAATGTATACTTTCTGATCGTGAAGGTACCCTAAAGGTATTTTTGTGATATTCTTGCAACATTTCCAATCTTATTGCATTATTTGTAAGTATGCTAGTAATTCTCAAATTGTTATTTTCCAAGTCTAGAACTGCGGAGTACTTTTTCAAAAAATCGTGTCCTAAAATACCACTTGTTTCACATGGCAGTGAATTAAGAACGTAAAACTTGTGTTCAAATATTTCACCTTCGGCCTCTAAAGATAAATAAACATATCCAATTGCTTCTACTCTACCACCAATTCCATTTATTATACTTCTCTCCTTACAATACGAAATATTATTCTCCTCAATGTGTTTATGTTTGATGCCCGAAATGAATGCACCCGTGTCCACTAGCCAAATTTGATTATGATTATTGAAACGTAATTGGACATGAAGTGAATTCTGGCAAGACATGATGATATCATTAGTCATGAAAAAATTCCGAAGTGTCGTTAGTTGTAATCCTTTGTTCTAAATCGGGATTACGTGTCGTTGCAACATTCACGTGGAAATTACCACTACGCCTACGGTAATTACTAAATTGATTCCTACCTGTACGTCGACCACGTCCTCTGCGTGCACCGCGAGATCTTGTCCAGGTGTCACGATTGAATCCTCTGGCGCCGTAGCTCTGCTACTGGGGCTGGTAGTTCTGGTTTCTCTTACCGTAATTCCCTCGAGTATGATTATAATTGTAATGGGGTGCGCTTTGATAACGCCTGTTATAACGGCCTCTGAAATTGTCAAGTCTGTTATAATCCATACTAAAAATATCGCCGGAGGTTGAGGAAGTCGCATTATCCTCGTCTTTAGCTGCTTGCATGGCCTCTGTCAATGTACTAATATTTCTAGCTGCTATTATCGTGCTGAGTCGACGATTGCGCAATCCGTCCGCGAACCGCTTAACGGCGTATTTTTCGTTTATCGTCTTCAATACATTATATTTGCTGGAATCTCCGTCGGCTTGCGCAATCGTTAACCCTACGAATAATTCAGAAATTTGACTCCCAAAATCATCAATAGACAAATGATTTTGCTGTATTTTATGCAATTTGTCTTGAATATCCGCTGCTGATTTTTTCGGTAATAGTCGTGATCGCATATCATCCAATAAGTTGTTAACTGAACTGTAATTTGTTTCTAATTTTAATTTTGCTTGTTGCGATAGTCGGCTTTTCAATAAAAATTTTACCAAAATTTTTTTACTTGCGTCATCTTTCAGAATGGAATTATAATAGTCAATACCGGCAATTAATTGCTTGATGCTTGTCTCATCGTCGGTCATTAATACTGGCAACAAATTTAACGTAGTCTTAAGATCAAACTCCATTGAATTACATATTTTTTTTTTGTAACTTTACACATTCTTCTATTTCATTGTACAATACATTAAACATACTAATCCTTTCTTTAATTATTTTAATTTCCTGTTCCTTTATTAATCTACTTTCTATAATCTTTGCCTATCTCCTCTATTTTACTACGCAAAATATTTTGTAGTTTTTTCGCTTCCTCAAATTTTTAAGCACTATTTCACCTTCTCTCCGTATTGGTCCTATCTTAATTAAATAAGTTATTATTTGTAATAAAGATTCATGTAAATTGTTTATTATTTCCATACCATAAAAGTAAACTTAACATCCTTATCTCCGATTGATTAATTTATGAATATCCACTCACTTATTTACCACGTAATTGTCTCATTTTCACTTTAAACACTATTTACACGCACACATGTATATATTTAAGCTTCTCCTTGATTTTTGTGGTATTCTACCACTATAGCTCGCGCTCTTCTTGTTATTTTCTTGTTATGGCAGGTATTAATAATCCGCATAGTGAAAAAAATTATCCCAAGAAGTATGGCTGCAATTAAAAGCCATAAAGTTAAACTTATATGACTCATATAATTGATGGCTTCATGAGCGTGTTGATTCAATACGTTGCTGTATCCAACTTGAGTGATAATATCGTGTTTATCCTCAGTATTTGGGGTTGTAGGACTCGGCGCTGCTGGTTTACACATGTTTTCAACGGGTCAAAAGTAAGTTTCACTCCTTACATTTTATTTTAGTCACAGTTCACTGGTAGGTTTGCACTGTGTTGCGCGACACGCATCCAAATAAGGCAGGGTCGCCATGTAGGGACGGTGGTAGCCGGGGATATTGGAGACGAGTGAAACCAACGAGTGCGGTTACAAGACTGAATATTTATTGTATATAGTTATTCCAAGTACATTACACTACTACTAAATAAGTATACTACGTCACAACGGACTTAGTAATATATAATTATATAACTTCTTAAACTGTGAAGCAAAATATTTTGAGAAAGCCTGCGTGCTGGAGAACGTTTCTAAAACTCTTGAAAGTAAAAGGAAGTCCCTAACAATTAACCGAATATGTAGAACACATTAGAATGATATTTGTTGTAACCATGATATATTCCGTGTTAGCCTTCCCGCATTAAAAAAGTCCTTTGAACTATTTTTAAACCTTTTTGTATTTTAAAATTGTTCTTTATTTATATTTAGTTCATAATATCACGTAATTTACAATTTTCTGAATGCCGCGTACAGTTGTAATTGGAATGCAAAAAAATAATGTTGTAATCTGTTTTCTGTAATTTGTACCATTACAATAAAAATAAAAATGAAATAAAATAAACTCGCATTGGGGTACTATCGTCTATGGCTTAAACCTTCGTATCGTATCTGAGATCATACAATTTATTATAGAATAGATTAATTAAGTAAACTTACGTATTAGGCACATTACGCATTGCCTTATGCCGTACGAAGACGGCTACAAGTGTCCCATTTCCAACAACGCCGATGACGAAGATAAGTGCAAATATGAGGGGTACTATGTATGTTTCAGGTCTTTCATAGTATGGCTGGTATGTATGTGACACATTCATCATTGCCTCGAAGGATTCGTTGCGGCCCTCTTGACTATCCATCTTGCATAGTATCTGGAACAAATAAAAATAAAGCTCATAGATGATCAAAATAATTTGGTTGGAAAGTAAGGAATGGTAAAATTTTAAGTTTCGCCAGCTGCCGCAGCCGCTTCCTTTCATCTTTACAGCTACCGATATTTCAAAGTTACGCTGTATACTTATTTATTTTTATTTGTTAATTTCTTTGTATGTGAATAGCAATGAATCTTTATCAAGATCTAGGCCCCCAATGCAGTATTTAAGGCTTACAATAATAATAATATGCAAATAGTAGTCTCACTGTATTTCACAGTGACTGTGTCATTACACAAAATTGTTTTCTTTCATCGCAATTGTCACCATATTTATTTCGGTTGTAACACGGTGGCCTCGAGGGTGTAATTGAGTCTTTGCTGAAACGAACCCTGAACAAACATTGTACAAATTGACTTACTCGATGGTATTTTTTTTTATTAATGTGGTTTTTCGCTGCACATGTTCATATATTATTTACTTAGATACATGTCAAAAGAAATGAAAAAGAAGTAAAAAGGAACTAGTAACGACTTGACAAGGCGAATTTAATGTTCACATTTTGAGCATTTGCTCACATTAAAGAAGCGGTTGCCGTGCCGCTAGAACGTACACGGCATTGATTTGCAAGTTGACGAAGAAATTAATACACGTGTGTATAAGGTGGGTTGTGTCGATAGTAGCTACACGGATGTTTAGTCCAATAACTTATACAGCTCACTCGAACGGCGTTTGCGATTGAGGTATTCTTTTTCGTTTAATTAGGCATTTAATCGAAAGATTAGATAAAATTGTTTATGAACTTGATTTATATTATATGATATCAATATCATTATACCGCTACTGCTAAAGCCTACGTATTTGTAATATACACGGCGTAACAAAAAGGTGCAATTATACTTCAAGTGGTGATCGTACTTGTGACAACAAACAACGTTAGTAATAAAAAGAGTTTTCTAATTAAATTTTTGATTTTTGCAAATAATACATTTATATAAAAAATAAAGGGGAGAAGTAGTCCGAGATAATTGTAACAGGATAAAATGAAATGTAGAGGAAACGGAGTTGGATGAGTGGTGTAGGATAGGAAATGTATGAGTGATGGAGGAGGATGGAGACGAAGAGGTGACTCGGGTTGGAGGTATCAGAGCTCGGAAAAGAGCTCGGCGGCGAGCGATTTCTCAGAAGTTGACGAGATGACTCCGTCACGCGCAGGCTGACTCGAAACGAATCGAAATGCCAGAGGTACGAAGATCAGATACGTGACATGTGGTCAAGGCTGTGTCCCAGGCGCACCGTGGCCTTTATAGGCAATAGGAACTGGGTCTTTATGTTTTTTAAAGCTTGTGAGTGCGGAACCCGCTGAAGACTAAGTCAACAAATTTGAAACGTCGGAACGAGCATTTTTATTCGAATTAAGTGAAAATATTATTTTTGCCAAAGATCGCATATTAGCTTATTTCAGTTATTCGATTGTTAATTATTAGATTGCTTAAAACAAATCGATGAAAAAACCGCGGTTACAGCGAGCTTCAAATAAACTTTTTAAACAGGCATGTTGCTCGTACCTAGTTGATTAGATTCTGAACTAAAACAAGAAAGAAATGCTATTTTCGGAAACATAATCCTCTCAAGTACGACAGCCATTTTCCACCGAAGGTAATCTCTGCTAAGCAATCAAAGACAGAACAAAGTTAGATCACTGTCTATTTCACTAAGCGAAATCTTTTGGGTAAACGAACTCTATTAATCTCATCTTTTCTGAAGTGTTTGCGGATGAAATGAATTATTTTTTGAAATTTTACGATATTCATTATACAGATTTTCTTTGAATATCAATAAGCTTTCTGGAAGTGACCATTATGGCCAAAATATTCTATTAGGGTCTTATGTGGGGTTGTTGCTAATAGCATCAGCATCCGCGGATGATCCGTATAAATTAAAATATCCGCATCAACCTTCGCATTTGTCGATGCTGATATTCAGTGCGGATATTTGCTTCGTGACATTAATTCCAGAAACACACTGAAAGCCCATAAATCAACTCAGCCGTCATTCTTACATTTGAAAAAATTCCAATATGACTTAGCTAGACAGACTGAATGATTTTATATGCGGGTTGATTGTTATACGTTATAAAATTATTAAACAATAATAATCATCAAAAAACTTTTTTATGAAGATTCAATAAAGACCTGCACATTTTTCACGACTATTTTAAAATAGATGAAATCAGTATCCGCAGCGTCATCTGCTGATGTTAAGGTCAAACAATCTATGTCCGCATCCACTGATGTGTAAAAAAAACTCACTACAGTGACAATCTTGGTCCTATGAATGAGACGTGAATAACAGATAGATTGTATAGCAATAGGGTTGAATTAATGTCTGTGTATTTACCGTCTTAATTTACATCAGGCGTTCTAAATTATCCGGATTTTTATTATCTTCGATAATTATCATGATTTGACTACCTTCATGGTCGAGTGGTTCGCATACCGGCTATAATGGTGCCACTATCTCTTAGGTCCGGGTTTGATTCCCGATCGGGTCAATGTAGACAACTTTCCTATATTGTCTCGGATATTTGTGGTATCGTCGTTACTTTGGGATCAGAGCAACGTATTTAATATTGTCTAATACTTATATTTATTTATTTATGACAATTATCCGACATATATATGAAGTCCAAGTTCATTGTATTTGGTAGCAAAAAGCAAATCAGCAACATCGTAGACAGAGATCCACATATCGAGATCGCGGGTAGTGATGTGGCTCGAGTAACAGAGGCAAAAAATCTTGGCATTACCCTTGATGGTCAATTACGTTTTGAAAGTCACGTACTAGGTCAAGTTACGAACTGCTTTTATCGTCTTAAAATATTATACAAAATACGTAAATATTTAAGTGAGCATGCTCGTATTACCATCTGCGAATCTCTGATCCTTTCCAAACTTAATTACGGAGATATACTTTACGGTCCTCGTTTGTTGAGTAAAACACAACACCTGATTCAACGTGTACAAAATGCTTGTTGTCGATTTTGCTTCAGAATCCCGCCTCGCAGCCGCATCACGCCATATTTAAACAATGCAAACATGTTAAATATGGACTCGCGAAGACATCTACATCTCGCGTGTATGCTGTTTGGCGTGATAAAGTTCCAAAAACCAGAGTACTTGTATGGAAAGTTAAAATTCTCCACTTTTCACGACAAATTTTCTATTAGAACCGTGAGACCTCTGTTGGCGGGACAAATTCATCGCACTGTGGCCTTTACTGGAAGCTTCCGCTATCAAGCAACGAAATGTTGGAATAATATTCCACCCCCGCTTAGACTCCTTAAAACTAAGTTTACGTTTAAAAAACATTTGAGGGAATTTATTTTTGATAGGCAAAAACTGGGTATTCCTAAACGCTTTACATAGCGGAGGCTTCTAGAATGAAGTCCCCTTGCTTCTTGGACATTTATTATCATTTTATGTTACAATGGCTTTCATCGATATTAAGTACTGATTATTATTATAATTTTATTTTAATTATACCAATTATGAATTTGTATTACTATTTTTTCAAATTTGAATTTTTTAATTTTTTACAGTTACTATTTTTTTTTTAAATATTTTATAATGTACATAATTCTTACGTGATACTAACATATGCACGCTAGATTCACCTCACAATGTTTTTGTTTTTGATGCACCGCAACGCGCTACCCTCGAAGATGGTGGCTGAAAATCAGTGCCTTACTCGTGAGCAAATTTTGCACTGAGCCACGACCTATTTGGCTTGCTTTAGCACACACACACAGCTGTTGATAATTAGGTTAGTATTATGTTTTTATGCTTCTTTTTTCGTTTTAATTTTGATTTCTGTGTGTCTCTTAATCAATTTACTGTATTATATTGTTGTGTGTCTCTTAATCAATTTACTGTATTATATTGTTGTGTGTGTGATGCAAGACAATAAACGTTTTATCTATCTATCTATCTATATTCAATATATCGGATAATTATTGCAGGACCGCGGCAGCCTCATAAGCATCCTGAATGCATGATTGTATTGAATACGTAGAACACTGTTTCTGAGGAAACTAACCCACAGGCTGCTTGTGTATAGCATCGTACAATAAGCTCTGAACAGTGTAATTTTTGCTTCAGTAGAGCAGTATGCAAACCTGCGGGCTAACATATTGGCTCTCACGGATAGTGCTCTATGCTCTCGTTCAATATCGGCGTTGTCGTTAAGGTCAGGTGTTACTAAAAACAGTTACAGAAAATTTTCCACTCCATCTTACAACATTGAACTGATTGTGGTACCAGTACTTGAAAATATCTATTAGTTCGGCAGGCATACAAATGTCATTTAACTTCTGCCACAGAATGTCATTACACGCCATAAAACATGTCAAACATGTCAAAAGCATTTGACACATTTAACACACATGACACGTCGAGGAATCACGAATAAACTGACAGTTCGCTTCAAACATGAACACACAGAAAACAGAAATGAAATTATCAACCTGAAACTGTGTTTCTGAAGATGTATAGCCCAAGTATAAGTAGTGCGACTGAAAGGTATCTTCTAGGAGAGCGCGTCCTATCATAGACCCGAAAGAGTTTGATAATTCTTTTTCGTAGGAAAGAGGGTACTTCAGTGTTGGTCCCTTTTACATTTGAAGGAAATATTCCACATCTAAGGGTAGCAAACTAGGGGAGGAATCCCTCCTAGTTTCTAACCTAACCTAAGAAAGCGCACTTTCTGGTAACCGATTTCAATAAAACTTATCAAATAGATGTAATTCCGTGAACTTTTAAGGTCAGTTTTTTTATAAAAAAGTTATAACTGCTCCTACGGCAAGGCGGTGGTCAAGAACAAGTTTAAAAAACGTTAGGTATTTGGAAACAAAAAAAATAGCACTTTGGCTACAAAGTGACGTAACAATTATAAAATAAAGCGATAGACT